GATTATGTGTCACAGCATTCAGTTGTTTACCTTATCAGATGATGTGCCACAGCATCCAGTTGTTTACCTTATCAGATTATGTGTCACAGCATCCAGTTGTTTACCTTATCAGATTATATGTCACAGTATCCAGTTGTTAACCGTATCAGATTACGTGTCACAACATCCATTTGTTTACCTTATCAGGTTATATGTCACAGTATCCAGTTGTTTACCGTATCAGATTAGGTGTCACAGCATCCAGTTGTTTACCGTATCAGATGATGTGTCACAGCATCCAGTTGTTTTCCTTATCAGATTATATGTCACAGTATCCAGTTGTTAACCGTATCATATTACGTGTCACAACATCCATTTGTTTACCTTATGAGATTATGTGTTACAGCATCCAGTTATTTATCGTATCAGATAATGTATCACAGCATCCAGGTGTTTACATTATCAGATTGTGTGCCACAGCATTCAGTTGTTTACCTTATCAGATGATGTGCCAAAGCATCCAGTTGTTTACCTTATCAGATTATATGTCACATTATCCAGTTGTTTACCGTATCAGATTAGGTGTCACAGCATCCAGTGGTTTACCTTATTAGAATATGTGTCACAGCATCCAGTTGTTTACATTATCAGATTGTGTGCCACAGCATTCATTTGTTTACCGTATCAGATTATGTGTCACAACATCCAGTTGTTTACCTTATCAGATTATGTGCCACAGCATCCAGTTGTTTACCTTATCAGATGATATGTCACATCATCCAGTTGTTTACCTGATCAGATTAGGTGTCACAGCATGATGTGCCACAGCATCCAGTTGTTTACCTTATCAGATGATGTGCCAAAGCATCCAGTTGTTTACCTTATCAGATTATGGGTCACAGCATCCAGTTGTTTACCTTATCAGGTTATATGTCACATTATCCAGTTGTTTACCGTATCAGATTAGGTGTCACAGCATTCAGTTGTTTACCTTATCAGATTATGTGTCACAACATCCATTTGTTTACCTTATCAGATTATGTGTCACAGCAGCCAGTTGTTTACCGTATCAGATTATGTGTTAGTCACATCATCCAGTTGTTTACCTTATCAGATTATGTGTCACCACAGCATCCAGCAGATTAGGTGTCACAGCATCCAGTTGTTTACCGTATCAGATTAGGTGTCACAGTATCCAGTTGTTTACATTATCAGATGATATGTCACATCATCCAGTTGTTTACCTGATCAGATGATGTGTCACAACATCCTATCAGATTATGTGTTACAGCATCCAGTTATTTATCGTATCAGATAATGTATCACAGCATCCAGGTGTTTACATTATCAGATTGTGTGCCACAGCATTCATTTGTTTACCGTATCAGATTATGTGTCACAGCATTCAGTTGTTTACCTTATCAGATGATGTGCCAAAGCATCCAGTTGTTTACCTTATCAGATTATGGGTCACAGCATCCAGTTGTTTACCTTATCAGGTTATATGTCACAGTATCCTGTTGTTTACCGTATCAGATTAGGTGTCACAGTATCCAGTTGTTTACATTATCAGATGATATGTCACATCATCCAGTTGTTTACCTGATCAGATTAGGTGTCACAGCATCCAGTTGTTTACCGTATCAGGTGATGTGTCACAACATCCAGTTGTTTACCATATCAGATGATTTGTTTACCGTATCAGATTATGTGTCACAACATCCAGTTGTTTACCTTATCAGATTATGTGCCACAGCATCCAGTTGTTTACCTTATCAGATGATATGTCACATCATCCAGTTGTTTACCTGATCAGATGATGTGTCACAACATCCAGTTGTTTACCATATCAGATGATTTGTTTACCGTATCAGATTATGTGTCACAAGATCCAGTTGTTTACCTTATCAGATTATGTGCCACAGCATCCAGTTGTTTACCTTATCAGAATATGTGTCACAGCATCCAGTTGTTTACCTGATCAGATGATGTGTCACAACATCCTATCAGATTATGTGTTACAGCATCCAGTTATTTATCGTATCAGATAATGTATCACAGCATCCAGGTGTTTACATTATCAGATTGTGTGCCACAGCATTCAGTTGTTTACCGTATCAGATTATGTGTCACAACATCCAGTTGTTTACCGTATCAGATTATATGTCACAGTATCCATTTGTTTACCTTATCAGATTACGTGTCACAACATCCATTTGTTTACCTTATCAGATTATGTGTTACAGCATCCAGTTATTTATCGTATCAGATAATGTATCACAGCATCCAGGTGTTTACATTATCAGATTGTGTGCCACAGCATTCAGTTGTTTACCGTATCAGATAATGCATCACAGCATCCAGTTGTTTACATTATCAGATGATATGTCACATCATTCAGTTGTTTACCTTATCAGATTAGGTGTCACAGCATCCAGTTGTTTACCGTATCAGATGATGTGTCACAACATCCAGTTGTTTACCCTATCAGATTATGTGTCACAGCATCCATTTTTTCCCCTATCAGATTATGTGTTAAAGCATCCAGTTATTTACCCTATCAGATTATGTATCACAGCATCCAGTTGTTTACATTATCAGATTATATGTCACAGCATCCAGTTGTTTACCTTATCAGATTATGTGTCACCACAGCATCCAGTTGTTTACCGTATCAGAAGATGTGTCACAACATCCAGTTGTTTACCCTATCAGATTATGTGTTACATTATCCTGTTGTTTACCCTATCAGATTATGTGTCACAGCATCCAGTTGTTTACCTTATCAGGTTATATGTCACAGTATCCAGTTGTTTACCGTATCAGATTACGTGTCACAACATCCAGTTGTTTACCCTATCAGATTATGTGTTACGTTATCCTGTTGTTTACCTCCTTATCAGAGTATGTGTCACAGCATCCAGTTGTTTACCTTATCAGATTATGTGTCACAGCATCCAGTTGTTTTCCTTATCAGGTTATATGTCACAGTTTCCAGTTGTTTACCGTATCAGATTACGTGTCACAACATCCAGTTGTTTACCCAATCAGATTATGTGTTACATTATCCTGTTGTTTACCTCATCAGATTATGTGTCACAGCATCCAGTTGTTTACCTTATCAGGTTATATGTCACAGTATCCAGTTGTTTACCGTATCAGATTACGTGTCACAACATCCATTTGTTTACCTTATCAGATTATGTGTTACAGCATCCAGTTATTTATCGTATCAGATTATGTATCACAGCATCCAGTCGTTTACATTATCATCCATTTGTTTACCTCATTCAGTTGTTTACCGTATCAGATTATGTGTCACAGCATCCAGTTGTTTACATTATCAGATGATATGTCACATCATTCAGTTGTTTACCTTATCAGATTAGGTGCCACAGCATCCAGTGGTTTACCGTATCAGATTATGTGTTACATTATGCAGTTGTTTATCTCATCATATTATGTGTCACAGCATCCAGTTGTTTACCGTATCAGATTAGGTGTCACAGTATCCAGTTGTTTACCTTATCAGATTAGGTTCCACAGCATCCAGTGGTTTACCGTATCAGATTATGTGTTACAGCATCCAGTTGTTTACCTTATCAGATGATATGTCACATCATCCAGTTGTTTACCTGATCAGATTAGGTGTCACAGCATCCAGTTGTTTACCTTATCAGATTATGTGTTACAGCATCCAGTTGTTTACCTTATCAGATGATATGTCACATCATCCAGTTGTTTACCTGATCAGATGATGTGTCACAACATCCAGTTGTTTACCATATCAGATGATGTGTCACAACATCCAGTTGTTTACCCTATCAGATTATGTGTCACAGCATCCATTTTTTTCCCCTATCAGATTATGTGTTAAAGCATCAAGTTATTTACCCTATCAGATTATGTGTCACAGCATCCAGTTGTTTACATTATCAGATTATATGTCACAGCATCCAGTTGTTTACCTTATCAGATTATGTGTCACCACAGCATCCAGTTGTTTACCTTATCAGAAGATGTGTCACAACATCCAGTTGTTTACCTTATCAGGTTATATGTCACAGTATCCAGTTGTTTACCGTATCAGATTAGGTGTCACAGCATCCAGTTGTTTACCTTATCAGATTATATGTCGCAGCATCAAGTTGTTTACATTATCAGATTATGTGTAAAGTATTTAAATTAATCTCTCCTTTTACAAGGCATGTCATTCAGACGATAGAAAATCAGTGAGGAACCTACTGAACTACATATTTGCTAAACTTAATGTGTGTGAATTAAATTTCTGTTTATATATCAATAACACATTAGCAAGACGGGAAAATCAAGTTAAGAATCAGGGACTACTCAGATCTTTTAAAATATTGATTTAATAAAAAATATGGAACACAGGTTTGAAATAGAGTTTATCCTACAGTATGAAAGTCAGACGGTTTATTTTTCATTAATAAACCGTCTCGTTGTTGACAACTTTAATTTCAAGATCGTGAACTTCCGTTATGTCGGTAATAGCATACCCGTCTCCTCTCTTTATTGATTTATCATGGCGTAATTTATTTGCTTCTATCAAACCGCTCCCAAGCGTAATTATATATGCGTTAGGAAATGAACATAATTCAGTGATTTCTCGTTGTTTCTTGTTATTGTCTTTTTAAGATAAACATCGATATTCGGTACAATTTAGAGGGATGCATTTCAATCAACCAGTTGTTACTAATCTTTTGAATCTCTTGTGTTATATGGTGAGTTCATGGTCATTAAATTTATTCCATTTAACCATTTTAATGTCTGGTTAAATTAAATTCTGTATCTCAACATTGTTCACTTAAATCTCTTAACACGGTTTTCAAATATGAGTTACGACCAGACCTTGACAAGAAGTGATAAAACGATTGAATACATACCCGTCCAGAAACGTCATACTTGATAGTTTATTGATCGCTCTGTGATACTTCAAATCAGTCATGTCTAAGCTTGTGTTGGGGCATAGTCCTTGAGGATCGTGGTAGGATTTGAAACATGTTTTTTTTATATAAAAATGTGTTTATTCGTCGAAGCGTTTAAATTTAGTAATGAAGCTTTAAGTGATAATGACAAAGTAAAGCACTTGCATGTCTTTACGCCTAACCAAGCTACCACCATGGCATGGAGACATGGGTCAGTAAGATGATCAATTCCAACAAATAATTCAGTTACCTGAATTCTGATTGCAGAGCGCTGTATGTGATGTATCATACAATCAATACTTGAAAACACAGTGCTTTTTTACCTGTTGATGATTGTATATGCAGTCGACTATAACATACGCAAAGTATGTCGGTAACGTTTCCAATGGATGCGAGTAAACATAAGAATAACATCCTAAAAAGATCATGCACTAGAATGTGCTGTGTATATATCGTGTACAACGTTAAATCCGCTCTTTAGAGACGCTCAACATCATGGGGGTAAGTCATTTTACTTAAGTGCTTTTATTTATATTTGATTGCACGACAAGGCCCATTGTTTCCCATTTTATTGTTGGTCATTTGGAGACAATGCATATTAAGGGGATGCTTGCTATGCTTGTAAAGACGTATACAATATCCACATGGTCTGTTTAACGAACGCGTTTACCCCGAAAACATATGTTTTGTTTTACTATAGCAAACCTGTGAAATAACAGGTGTAACAGTTTATGTTTTAATGTGTTGTTAATAACATTTTGTATTTCTGTGTTATAGTCCTGCCAGAGTAACGTACTGGTGACAGACAGCTCGCAGGTAGGTAAATAACCGTAGTCAGAGACTGTCGGTTAGAATTCCACTTTTGACACTGGTATTACTCTCCTAGGTTTGTTATATAAGGACATTCAGCACCATCAGTTTATCTCTATATGTGACAATAATTAAACTGTCCTTAGTTTGTAATGTAAGGACGTTCAGCACCATGAATTTATATCTATATTTGACACTAATAAAATGTCACATACTAGTCACTCTTGACGAAGCATGTTGTAAAGTCTGTCTTTGGTTTAAAACAGTAACTGTTAAACAGCTTCGTAGTTTAAATGATACTGATTCTATTGAAGTTTGAGTACCAGATCGGTGTGAAAACTGGGGACCGCAAGGGGGCGGGTACGGACGCCAACGTAACAGTTGTTCTACATAACGATGACGGACAGTCAACAGGCCAACTTCATCTGGACAAATTCCTAAAAAATGACTTCGAAAAGGGCAAAAAGGATTGCTTTAAAGCGGTAGCGTCTTTTATGAGCGTGATTGACTTCATAGAAGTATGGCGAGATGATGCTGGAATAAAAGATGAGTGGTTCCTCGAGTCGATGGAAGTGTACTGCAAGTTCTCAAACAAAACGTACGTGTTCCCTTTCTTACGCTGGATAAAAGAGGGTTACCATTACAAGATCCGCCATCTTGACACGTCACTTCCTCAACATGACCCTCAAAAGGAACAGCGGCTTATGGAGCTGAACGATAAAAAGTCGACCTACCAGATGACGGTCAAAATTCCTGGGCTCCCGATACAGGTAAATGCTTCTAAATGAAAACATATCATGTCAAGTTATGTCATTGATGCATCTGTGATATCCAATTAAGCGCTAATCGCATCCTTTACATTTTACGGTATTTGCACAATAATCTACGTCAATATACAAAATATTGTATCAAGATTGTTGTAAGGAAAATCATTTGTTTTTCCTTGGTATACCATTAAGTACTAAGACCTCTGTACCGATGTAACACTAAAGCCGTAACGATCACCAGATCTAAGTCTTCTCACCTTTAATTATCTTCATATCAAAAGGCTAGAATTCAAACAGGTGGAATGAAATGGGATACAACTTGCTTTCAGAAAAACGTAATGTATATAATTTACCATACAGCTGTAAGCTAAAAGAAATAAATGGCTGAGAAAATAGGATTTCGAACAAATGCAGAATCATGACGTTAATGTAGAATAAACAATTTTAAATGTTTCTATTAAAACAAATTTATGGATCAATTTAAAAGAACGAAAAATATATATATTTCGGCATAAAGACATGAGTAAGTAATGGGATGTCAAACAACCTTTAGTTTATCTGTTTATTACAAACCATACATTTAACAAAGCCTTCACATAAACGTCTTATTTCTTACGAACGAAATTTACTTTTTATTTCTCAAAAAATTATAGAAGTTCCGATTCAATTCCCCACCGGTAAAATAATCATATACTTTCAGCATTTAATTTAGTGAAGATAGTTTTTAAAAGGAAGGTGAAAACTATAAAGAAACTGTCCTATTAAAGAAATGTTGTTAAGTAATGTTAATAGAACAATACGCACAACAATATATTATGATATATCATGTTAAACCACCACGAACTGGTTTCATGAACATGGCAGTTGATCTTTATGAGAGATTGAAATAAAAATAGAATGCAACTATAACCCGTATCTTGCGATGAAAATCAGTTTGAACTGTAATTCATTAGTCATTTAAAAAACTTGCTGCAGAATATGAGGATAAATCTTTGACTTTATTTCAAAATGAAATATAGCATTAAGTCGAAGAGGTATTGCACCTCGTTTGTACGGCCTTGAGAAGGTGTTCGGCGTTAAGAAACCAAGGGAACAAAATGTTAAGTATAATAACGCCGTTTCGATCAAAAGCAATAAAAACCAGATGACACAAATTTCCTGCCTTGCTTGCCTTTCCTTTTTTTTTTTAAAAAAGAAGGAACCACTCGTGCTGTATTTATATGAGCTTACTGTTAACGAAAAAAAAATCAATACAGATTATATATTAATTTGAACCACACGGAAAAAATGTCAACATCAAGCCTGATTAAGCATTAACAGCGCAAACGCTTCTTTAGCATATGAGCTATGCAATTTGCATAGCCTACCTGTACATTATTCATTTGTCGTTATGTTGTGAAGCAAAAACTGCTGAGACATTTAGTTTAAATCCAATTGATGGACGTTTTTTTAAGCAAACGGACCGCTATATTTAGGTCTACGGTATCATTCCTTTGATCAATTTTAAGTAGATGATTAAACTGTATTCATACCGTTTTTTAAGCCGTTCAAGTAGCAAATTTACAATAACAGAAAACTTCCAGTCCAACCGTACAAACTGACACATGATATATATAGATATAAATTTAGAGTATATCATTAGTAAGCATGTTACCGCTTTTGGTCTCAGGATCCCCGTACTACCGCAAAAAATAAAAATTGTTACAACGCTATCAAAACGTTTTACTTGCTTATCTTTAGCTTTGATAAATAAATTCTGAAAAGAAAACTATACCTTGCGGTACGTTTATGGAAAAATAATAGGGACAAAAGAAACCAAATGTAATCAACAACAGTTTCATAAGAGTACAACTTCAGTAGGACTATCACTCATTGACCTAACTAACTGGCCAAAGGAAATGTCCTAGTCCAAATGTGCTGAAGATGTATCCAAACGAAATATTGGTTAAGCGGGAGTTATTGTATATACGTCACACCTTAAGTGACTCCACGAACGTTATTTCCAGTATCCTTCTGCTAAAGGACATTTAATAGCAGATTGGCACTAACTATTAACAATTTACAGTACAGAAACCTTAGTTCATTCCCATTCGTTTCACGTGTCATAAAAAATTGTACGCTCCATTAGTCTATCTACAAATGGGATGTTTTTGAAATGTGTTTACTATTTCTTGACTCACGTTTTGTATATATAATTACTGTTTGTATCCTTGTTACCTATGGTTACGACCTGGGGCATCAACCTCTGTACGCGGCATGTGGTTAGTGTGTATGTGGAGTTGATTACCTATGGTTACGACCCGGGGCATCAACCGCTGTACGCTGCATGTGGTTATTGTGTATGTGGAGGTGATGGAGCATAACTGATATGTCTATTAAAAATGATAATTGAATAGAGTGAGAGATGTATTGGGTTTTGCGAGTAAAAGGGGAGTAAAAGGGGAGTTAATATAAAGTTGTGCATCCTCCTTAATTTAAGAATATAAAAAGGTGATTTTAGAACTGTCAGAGATGATCGTTTTCAAACAAAGAAGTTAGTGTGCATGATAATTGTGTTGCATTGCCATTAGTGCTCAAACTGTCCATCACAACTCAACAAATTCTAGAAATGCAATTAATTGTATTTAAAAGAACATGTAAACCTTGTGTTTAGGTATAACCAATTAAAAATTCTCTTTCAGGCGAAAGAAATACCAGAAGATGAAAAGTTTTCCTCTGACTACCAGGTAAGACAAAGTTTAGCAAAAGTTGTATAGAAATGTAATGTTTATTATGCATCATTATTATATCATGACTTTAATATAATAAACACTGTATTCAATCGAGATGGCGACAGAACAATTTTTCAACGAAAAATAATGTCCCTCATAGACTACGCTGACTAGTTGATAAACGGGAATTACTTTTTAAGACAAAAAAAAAAAATATGTTGTATTAAAAATGTCATATTTTGTATTTCTGTAGCAAGGTGCACTTTATAAGCTCACTGTAGGTGAATGTTAAGACATGAAGAAGATGTAAAAGAAGTTTACCATATATTTGATTTCATGTTTGGGAGATCAGTAGGATGCTTTTTAAGGATAAAGCACCTTTAGAATATCTGAACATGAAATTAAAAATTAGGTAAAGCACTCTATCTTAATTATTTGATAACCCTTGGATAGATTTGACTTCACTGAAAACAATAAATATAACAAGATGAGCTTGAAGGGGTGCACAGTTATTTCCCATTGAAATACAAACTCTTCGGTTGAAATATTTTTCTACCTAATTCAACAAAACATATAGCGGTCAATATTCTGATCATCTCGACAATGTCAATCCAAGCAAACTTACTATTTGTCTCATACAACATAGTGTAAAATAGTCTGTGTGTGGACTATGTATAGTTACATTAAGTGTGCAAATTAAGTATATATTTATACTAAAACTTCGAAGATCTTAACAGTCATATCGGCTTTAATAATTTCACTTCTGCTGTCGAGTGAGATATAAAAGGTTAACAAAAGTTTTAACATCATCTCAAAGAGAAGTGTAATATGACTGTATAATGTACTAAGGACTCTTGGTCTAATGGTCATTTGGAAGTAAAGCTGAAACAATTCCATTTTAGTTTGATCTGGTGAAGCTTGTTGCAGAGATTACAATAAAAGGCAAAATCGTGAAGGTTGTGAGTGGTGACTGGGACAGCCTAGAGGACCTTGGAAACATCTATAAGTCAGATGTATTTTCTAAGCCTTCGGTTAGTACTCATTGATATCTACTGGTTATATGGCATCCCTCTCTAAGTTAATCACAAAGATACATTTAAAAGTTTAAACAAAAATATATCGGAGATATTTTTTCTACACTTTGTTTGTTTACATGACTTTCGAAACAAATCAAACTTTGAAAAGTTATTTCGAGATGTATCCCTTTGCATTAATAATTTAAATAATTTATGATTCTACAGCCTCTGGCGGATGGTACGTGGGATACAGACGAATATTTCGGATTCCAGCGGATTGGTCGGATCAACAATTCACTAATTGCACTCTGCACAGAGATCCCAAACAAGTACAGTAATCTTACTGTTATATTTATGCGATGATCTAAATTTAAAGAAACATGACATAAGCTGTGCATTTGTATTCAAAAATTGTATACCATTCTTATATCGGATTCATTTGGTGTATTTGTCATAATGCTTTACTTTTCTCAATTCAAAAAACTAAAAGTATTAAACAATGATATGTTATAAAAAATTACCCCAGACTTGCTGTGACTGCAGAAATGCTTAAACCCTTCTTAGAAGGCTCCAAACTGCCAGACGTCATCTCTAAGAAGAAGCTGTTTTATGTCGATCTCGCCATTGTGGAAGGAATACCCGTAAAAAGTGGATTAACAGTAAGTGTGGTGCACATTGAACGAGATGTGCATAGATGATAGTGATCAACGAGTGCATTATTCTTACTTGAAATGATGGCAGCACAGATTTCTTTATAATTTGTTTTAATAGTTTTTTGAGTAGGATCATGATGACGATCAGTTTGGTTATATATATCCTCGTGTTTCTATTGTTATTTATTGTATCTTGTAAAAAATCCTATTTAGATATTGTATTATTGACACTGTGGTTTACAATTGTTTGAAATCATTAGCCTTTTTTATATTGATATAGGTTTGTGCCCCGATCGCCTTATTCTACCACAACAAAAAGTCTCGCTTGGTTCCCATAGCGATACAATTGAAGCAGCAGTCCGCGGACGACAATCCAGTGAGAGTCTTATCACAGACAAATCAAAATCTACATTCGTAATGAAATGAATCACCCAACATAGCTTTAAAATGATTTCTTTTGTTTTTAAACATTACCACTATAATTATAATGCAACTATGATTGTTTTCTATGACATCCATTGATGACGTCACACAGAATAGTCTAAAGTGATCATGAATTTTGACAATGATAAACCAAATGTCGTTTTCCTTGGTTGTCTATGCTATAAAAGTGAGAAAGAATTGTGTTTATCTTGAATGAAATATATATATATATATATAAATTGAAAGATTCAAAACTGTACTTCATGATCTATAAATGTAGTCTTCTCGCTGCAGTAGCAATTACTATTTAAACGTATCACAACACTACATTACGGTCCGTCACCATGATTTCTGTTCTTTTGACACATAATTTTCTGAACTCGTCTGGTATAATTGTCTCGTGACTTGTTTCACATTGATTTATTTTGTATTATATGCACTGCAAGCAGAAATACAAGAAAAACAATTTGTGTAATATGTGGTATCATGTTAACACCCAAATCCTACAATTAACCTGCTGCAAACATCAAGCACGGGTGCTAGTTCTTTTTATGTTGAAATATTTGTAGTTTGTGTATTGTGATGATAAACATTCTCCTTTTATATCGATAGGTGTTCCTTCCCTCTGATCCAAAATATACCTGGCTGGCGGCGAAAATGTGGTTTAACCTTGCAGATGCTTCCTATCACGAGTCAAACACTCACTTAGGTAAAGAGCTCAAAGATCATCATCTAACGATATCACACGAAGCATTAAGTCAGTAAATGTAATAAAATGGAGCATGCTCTTTATGAGACAGTAAATCGAATAATCAATCTAGATTATACAATACTCAATGATTGACTGCTAGGTTATTATAACGATGTTTTTATCAATGAACACTAAACATATTACACAAAGCAATAATGCATATATCCCTGTTTTATGAAAAGCAGGTAATTAATAATGAAGTATTCTTAACTCCCTAGTTATAACAAGATACATTTCTCAAAATTGCTGCTTCGGAACTGGTTTATGGTAATTACAAGATAAAATAATTTCAAACAAAACACTACACAGAGATGAATAACAATGGAATAGACAGGTAGGTGGACAAAACTAATCTGCATAATGTTTGTTATCAGGGTTCACTCATCTGTTGATGGAAGGATGTGCTCTGGCCACTCACAGGAACCTTTCTCAATCCCATCCCATCTTCAAATTACTGGCGCCACACTTCCTTTATCTCATCGCTATTAACGGGTAAGTATTCACATTTTGTTGTTCTTCTATACCTTTTTTTTGAGCTTTGAAAAGCCTATATATATCAGTACATCAGAAATATATTTAACTCGAGATTCCGATAAAGTCATTGTTATTCCGTCGTAAGAAGGTTCCCTATTTGGTATGTTTGTATAAACAAAAAAGTCGGACATAAATTAATACTCATCTCATTGATGTATTGTAACATAGGAGCTATGATTTTGTTATACAATGTGCATGTTACAGACAACTCTATTAGACATATAGGTTTTATCGAAACGTACAAATATGTATCTACGTTGTGTCTGATGGCAGAAGTATTTAATTATTATTATACATCTAAACTTTATTTCCTGGTTTCATCGTAATATTTGAGTTAATATTATCATCAACAGATTAGCACTGACAACCCTGATCAATTCGGATGGCTGGGTTCAAAATACGATGGCAATAGGTATTGATGGCATGTTTGAACTTATCAAAAGAAAGTAAGTATTTCGTAGCATACCCGGAAAATGATGATAATAATAGCCAAAGCATGGCATTATTTCAAAGGTTTTATTTGGTGTGAAACTGGTGAATGCATTATCATGTCATATCCTGGTGAATGTATTATCATGTCTTGTCCGTTTATAAACTACATTTTTTCATCACCATGGAATTTCATCAATTTTTTCAGAAATTCGACAAGGTTGCCTACATATATAAGATGCTATATTTTCATACTCGCAAGTACACGTATATATTTTGCACTACACCTGAAAGTGAGGCAGGTAAAACAATCCATCATTCATTCAAACATATTTTATTGACACTGAATAGTGAAAGGCATTGGGCACAAGTTCTTTCAACTTTCTGGGCACTCTTCCATAATAATCGATATGGATAAGGAAGGAAGAAGAACAAATGCATAGAAACGATGGAGGAGGCGACACGCGGGCACCGGTTGAGTCACCTTTATGTTCCCATTTGAACATCCACTAAGGGTATCCACAATGGGTAAACATATTATTAGTCTCTATGACTACTTGCATCTTTTTGGCGAAATGTTATTATGATTCTGACAGCTTACTACACTGACTTGGCACAGTGATGCTTAGTGAGTTGTTTTCAGCGGTTAAGAGTCGAGACACCGGTCATTCGCATTCCTTGCTTGACGAAGGGAACAGACGTTTTTGAAACCTCGCAAATAACTTCCAATTAAGCATTTATATTTGCATAAATGTTGATGGTCTATCGTAATGCAACATTTGTTGTTAACATGGAACGTGTTTGGTATTGTATGTTTTGTTTGATCTCAGACTGGACACCTGGAGGCTGGATGTCGATGGAACACTACCTAAGGAACTGGAGACACGAGGGGTACTTGTTTAGTTTTTGTGATGTACTTATTAATGCAAGAAATACAAAGTATTAATTAGATATTATGACAGATAGTAAACGTTTAAGTATGGCCATGCAGTTAATTGTGTAATAATCAATCTCTATGATGGTAATCCATGCCATTAAAAACGTTATAATATATATTTGGTTTCAGATCAGTTAGCGACTTACATTTAAAAAACTAATGTCATTACATTTCCAATATACCGCTGATGTGGAAGTGTCCATAAAGCGCTGCAATATACATCGTTTATTTGAAGAAAATGTTATTTTGATAAATGAATTTAAAAACTCGGTAAATATTCGAATTATCTTAACATTAGGTATTGGACCAGGCAGTGTTGAAGGGCTACCACTACAGGGAGGACGCTCTGCCACTGTACAACATTATCAAAAACTAAGTCACCAAATACGTCAAAATTTACTACGGTAAACGATAGCAATAATAACTATAGTCTTCAGCTTATTTACCATTTATTATAATTTTTACACATAATTGGCTATTTTGAAATATATATAAAACACAACTTTGTTCAATTACTGTTCCTTTAGTTTTTACATTTTCAACTAATTTGCACTGGAAGTGATTTTGCTAAACATATTATTTAATATTCTCAGACAGCCCCGCGACATACTCGGGGGATCACGAGATCCAGGCTTGGGCACAGGAGTTGGTTAAACCGAGGTCAGAGGGTGGTTGTGGCCTGCTGGTACGTGATCTTACAAATCATTTTATCACCTATATTGTATTTATTTTCAAGACGATTTACTCTTCCGCTGACTTTGATTTTGTGTTGGGTTTTTCTGTGGATGTTGATTACTTTTCCTTATTTGGGCATATCATTTTTCTCCGTAAATATTCAAATTTTCTTTATTGAATTTGTGTTGAAGAAAAGATACTCATTTAAATCCTAATAATTTTGATATTTTCTGTAACCAATACATATATTTTCTTCTATAAGTTGCGATAAAAAATATGAAGAAGCATTTTTCTGAACACAGGGTGTCCCAGGAGAAGGAACTATAGCTAACGAGGAAGACCTAGTGTGCATTTTGACGTGTGTTATTTTCACGGGCAGTGTCACTCATGCAGCAGCAAACTTTGCACAATACGACGAATACGGTTTTCCTCCAAACTACCCCGTGGTTATGAAAGGGAAGCCACCCACCGACAAGGTATTTTGCAGAAGGCATACGTTTTATTTTATTTTAAATTTGAATTATTTCTCTGGTAGGTTCTTTAAAATATGAATTGAGAACCATATGTATTTTCATCATCTTCAGCAATTTTGTGAGCAATATGCTTTAGTACAAAGTAAAGCAATCGCGTGTTCACTGGTACATAATAAAGCTGAATATATAATAAACAATAAGGTATGAAGTATTGGGTTGCTTTCTGAGTGACGTATCACTCGTGATACATCATATCGTGTAATCTGATGTCATGATTACCACCACTTCAGAGTGCATTGACGGAGTCCTGCATCTTGGAGGCTCTTCCAAACAAGAGTGTGACTTTCGAGATAATAACCATCACTAAACTTCTCAGCACGTACGATACTAACAAGCTTGGGGACTACGAGATGCAATACATTTATGATCCAAAAGCTGAACAAGTTTTGCAACAGTAAGTAGAATGCATTTCAATAATACAATTTAAATGTAAAAGATTGAATTTGAGTATGAAAGTACTTTCAAAAACACTGAAAAAGGTCGTATTGGTTCATTTTCGTTGCCGTTGAATCGCGAATTGAAGTAAACCCCTTAAATGACATGCGGATAAGTAATCTCGCTCAGCTAATAAACGACTGTTCATCTATTTCACAATATTCCCGGAGATGACCAATGCAGATTTTAGAATCAGTATTAGAAGACCTTAAAGTGTTTTACTTAGCCTGCGCTTCAGTACAAATGCTGTAAGTTCCTTACAGTGATTCAATAAGACAAGTTTCAACATGGTCTCTCAATAAAAACACATGCTATCTACGTGGGGTCATTTCGTCACATCGCATCGGCGTCTACAGTTTATATATTTAAATGGTACAGTTGTGGGATCGCACAACGTTACACGATGTGCGGTGTGCGCACGATGTGTGCACGGTGTGTGAACGGTGTGTGCACGATGGGCGAACGATAAAAAACTGGACGATCATTGCTTGCGCACATCTGTGCGCACGATGGACGGACGTTGTGCGATAACAATCGTGGTTGGTGTAAATTGAGGAATGCCTTAACAATTTATACGGTTTCGTGTTTAAACATATAAACTTGGTGTTTACGTATGTTTCTATATTCTAGCAACATTTGTAAACTTATCTTTCTGTCTATACATTCTTCTATTTAGAAATTATGTTTTCTGTGTTTTTAAACAAACTTAATCGACACATGTAAAATTACAACACAATCCCGTATCAAAGACGTATAATACGTATTATACGTCTCTGCCCGTATACAGGTAAACATAACCACTTTATACATGTACCTGGACCATAGTTTTCTCCCCGCCTGGGGCACTTACGTAACTCGTCGGGTAAGGCCGGGGGTGTGAAAATCCAGGTGAAGGGGAGCTATAGGCAAACGAATGCAAATAACAAATACTTTTCATTACGGTCAAACGGTATCGCATATCAGCTCTGTGTGTCAGGCACTGGTCAGGTAAAACTCCGGACACTCATAAAATTGTTATTTACCTGTTCTGTTACCTTGGAGCCAAACCCATTCTTGACAGCCTTACGGTCGCTGTAATTCTGTGTAACACGCATTGTGAAATTGTATAATCTTGATTACTGTGATGAGAAATTACAGATATATACACAGTGTACATTATCGCATACAAGCCTTCCGTATTTTTGTCATTCCGTAATTTTGATCTACAAATGATACCAAATCGCACAGTTGTGCGGAGAGAAGCGCACAACGGGGCGAACGATTGCTAAATCGCACAGTTGTGCGCACCATGTGTGGACGATGTGCGGACGGTGTGTGAACGATGTATGCACGGTGTGCGCACGCTATTTTTGGTGCGTTGTGCGGTCCCACAACTGTATCATAGCCATAAAAACAAAAGGTTAAAGATTTTAGTA